CAAAGATGTTCAGGGTTAGAATCAGCTCGGATGGTTCAAGGTTTAGGTATTCGCATAAATAAATATCTCATAATTCAGGATTCAGAATACTCAAAATTCATAGGTGGTGGCTTCAGTATACTAGTTGATTTAAGACATATATAAATTGAAGAAAAAACTTCCAAATTCCAATTTGGAATTTGGGTGTCAAAGTTTTTTTTCCCAAATTCCAATTTGGAATTTGGGTGTCAAAACTTTGGCCTCCAAATTCCAAATTGGAATTTGGGAGCTTTTCCTTCAGACCCAAAATCCAAATGTAGAATGAGCAGATGTTTTAGAATCATGACATTTTCGGCACAAGCTAAGAATAGGTTCATGATTCTTTCTTACCATTAAGTTGGTAAATTCTATGTTGGGAATCATATTCTTTTTAGGAAGATTTGTCAAATGCATCAGGAAGTGAAAATGAATTCATACCATGTGTGCCACCATCCACCAGCTAGTGGGTTGTGTTGTATGTATGGGTTCTGGGCATTTTGCTTGTGTCTTCCATATATGTGGTATGAAAATGTTGAAAAACCCTAAACCCTACACCCTAAACCCAGCATAAAAAGGCATTTGCTTCAAAAATAAGAATTGTGGCTTTAGAATGTTAAAACATGATCACCTCTCTTAGGGTGTTGTTTGCCATTTGTGCTTGTGTATATGTTTATGTTTATATGTGGCATGATCATAGTGGTGAAGCGAAAGCTCCTTTTTATCATGTTTGTGTTTGGGTGACTATTTTGCTGCTTGTGTTGCTATGCAATGTTGTGGTTCTGTAATGGATTCGTGTGTTTGGGCTTAAGAAGTGCTTATATTGCATGTCTTAAGCAAATATCAAGATATAGATGGTTCTTTCGAAAGGGTTTTGCAAGAAGGTACATAAAAGGTGTGCATTTGCTTTGTTCCCCAAGCATTGAGCCCAATAACTAACAATGTTTGTAAGGCATGACGGATCAGCAGCCATTTTAAAATGTTTTGTAGGTGTTTTTAAATTGTTGCGAAAATTAAAGATGAGTGAGCTCTGGGTTTAGGGTTTATGGTTTAGGGTTTAGGTTTGCTTGCACCATCCAAGCAAATACAAAGTGTATGGTTTGGGCTACAAGTTATTTTAACATCAAGCAACAATCATGATGTGTTAGTTGTGCTGACAATTGCTGCGCTATGGTGATATGGGCTATCTTGTGTTCTTGTAATCAGGTCATGTGCATCCATGTTGATATTTCCTCAGAAAAATGTTATTTGATAGTCAAGTGCTGTGTGGGCTGGTTGCAAAAGCTTGTGCAATTTACACACATTCCTTTTTCTGCTTAAGAAGCATGTGCATGCAAAATGAAAACTGTTGCTTTGATTCAATTTTGTGTCAGCTCCTGCTGAGTTATTCTAGCATACAAGGAAATCAAAGCAATGTTGACATGTCATCTGCAGGGCTGCATGCTTTGGAGCATGGGGATGAAGCACAAGCTTTAAGATTGCATATTTCGTTACAAAAGATACTGCTTACGCAAGAACCATTTATGTGCATCAAAAAGCAGCTGCTTTCTTTCGACCCTACTTGAAGGTTAGGCCAGCACAGCTCAAGCCAAAGAGCCCAAGTAGGAAAGAGCAAAGCTATGAGCCCAGGCTTTTTACCAAGTTTGCTCGAATTAGTGTTTAGATGTCATCCAATAAAAGAATTAAGGTGAATAAGCCCAGCCTATAGCTCATTGCTTTGCTGCTAGTCTTGCGTGAGGACATGCAGCTCCAGACTGCAAGAGCTGGTTGGAGCAAAAAAGTTTCGACAGGGGTTGAGAAGCCAGTCAGGCTTTATGTGCTGGTGTTGCAGGAAGAAGCCTTTCAGGCTGCATGTTGGTTGAGAAGCCATAATGGCTTGCTTCCCTTTTTTTCCAAAAAACCTGTGGGCTGCATGTTTGTGGATTTCGACAGCCTCACAGGCTGCATGTTTTTGCAACAAAAGTGCTTCAGCATGCTTGTGCCAGGCACTAAATTGTTTTCAAGCAATTTTGTTTTGATGTTGAAAGCACCAGATGTTCTGGATTGCATTTGCAACGCAATCTTCTTTGTTCCAAACCACAGCTTGTGATTTTTGAAGCATGTGCATTGCATGAGCAGTCATGAAAATTGGCTTTGCAAAGTTGAAGCCATTTTGCATGTTGTGTGTCTGGTATTTTTATTGTTGTTTCAGCACAGATTGGTTAGACAAGCAATCTTCAGCATTGCTTCTTGCACAGGAGGCCAGCCATGGCCCAGTGGAGCTTGATTAGTGTGTGTTCCGAAATGAAGGACACTGCTGCCCTGTTGAAGGCCAGAAAGGCTGAACTTCCCTTGCAGAAGAAAATGCTAGAAGTCTTGGAGTTCAAGTTGAAATCCTTGCAGCAGATCTCAGCAGCTGATGCTCTGGAGCTGCACAAGACCTTGGGTGAATGCAAGTTCCCAGAGGCTATGGCTACTAGCCTTGCTGTTGCAGTGGACAACTTGCTTGGCCAGCAGCAAGACCTCAGCCATGCGCAGTCCCTGAAGCCTCAAACAATCCAGAACATCCACTTGTTCTTGACTGCTTCCGAATGGAAGATTCTGGACTGCACAGAGAGTGCTTGGTGGGACAAGCAGAAAATCCTGGTGGACAGGCTTATCAAGCTTGGCTTCAGATCCATGTCTGAGCAGACAGTGAGGGTGTGTGTGGCCTTGCTCTGTTGCACACTCACAACTTTGCCTGGTGATGAAGCATTGTACCAGCTTGTGCTGGATTTCAAAGAATGCTTTCACTCAGCAAAGAAGCCTGAGGCAAATCTTCCTTACTTGGTAACTTTCCCAGATCAGCCGAGTGGCTTGCCAGAGCAGTTGCTGAAGCAAGCTTTCAGCAATGAAGACCCTCCTGTGCCAAAAGATGTGCCCAAGCTGAACCGGATGAAGAAGCTGATGGTCTTGAGGACTTCGAAAAAAACATTGAAGGCTTCAGCTGGCAAAAAGCATGGCACAGCACAGGCATCTCAGCTTGTGTCTGCTGAGCCATTTATGGCTGCCCCTTCTCAGCCAAGCAGCCAAGACCAGATGATCAACATGATGGGCATGATGCGCCAGGTGATGCAGCACTGCATGGGGCAAAGGAGCTCAAGTAGCAATAGCCAGAATGTTTTCAACAGCTTTGCTGGCGCTGCTCAACAGTTTCAGCCCAGGACACCCACTAGGGCTGGTGGCCAAGTGGCTTTGCAGCTGACAGACCAGAAGTCACCTGGCTCAGGTCAAGCTTTGGCACTGCCAGCACCACTGCCAGAGGAGCAAGAAGAAGCTTCTGAGAACAAGGTTGCTGAGCAGCAGCTTAGTGAGCAACAGTTGGCAGCTGAAGCCCAAGGGGAGCCTCCCAAAGAGGAAAAGCCTTCTGTTGAAGAGGAGCTGTTTGAAGCTTTGAAAGCCAAGAAGCAGGGGCTTCCTGCAGGCTCAAGTGCAACTGGTGCCAAAAGTCGGCCAGGGAAGGGCAAGGGTAAGGGCAAAGCTACAGGCAAGGCTGCAGCAAAGGCTCAGGTCAAATCTGTTGCTAAGGGCAAAGTCTTGAAAAGACCTTCTGCAGCCAGCAGTGGCTTGCCAGCTTACTGGCCTGCTGCCCCAACCTCTTCGCAATTGGCTTCCAGAAAGGCATGCTATGTTGACAATCATTACCACAAGGCCAAGAAGGTTGCAAGGGGCGCCAGTCTCTGTGAGGAAGATGCTTGCTTGTATGCCAGGGCTGCAAGGGCCAAGGCATGTGAGACATGGGACTCAGCCCACTGAGCTTAGTTTCACTTTTTGGTGTAGAGCATGTATTGCACGCAAAGGGCAAGTGCCGAGCAGAAGCACAAGGCTTTCAAGTGACCTTAGCTGTGGGGCAGCTTTCGAAAGGGGTGGATGCCAAAAAGCCAGCTTGCATTGCTTTTTTTGGCTGTTGAAAGCTGCTTGGGCTTCATGTGTGTGCTGCAAACTGTTGGACTCCAAAACATCTTTTGAAAGATTTTTGCATGATGCGAGCCACAATTCACTGCAGCCTTGATTTTCGCAAAGAGGCTACATCATTATTATTTCTTTGCATCTTGGGTTTGTGCAAATATTCAAAAGTAGATGGAATGAGCATTGTTGGAAATGGGCCACCTGCTGGCTTACCAACCTTTGCTTTCAGGCTCTTTGATGGTATGCCCAATGTTCTTTCTTTGATTTTATTTCTTGGTGCTTGCATAGTTGGTCCCAAGGCTTACAATCTGCCAATGCTGGTTTTGAGTTGGAAGGCACCTTGCTGCCTGCTATCTGGTTTCTTGGCACCCAAGCCAAAAAGCATGTAACTGCATGCTGTGCTTCAGCATTGAAGATGCTTGGTGTGCAGAATTTTTTAGGCTTTGCTGAGGGAGATGACAAGATATAGGCACATGCGCAAGAGCAACATTTGCCATTCTGACCAGCTTCAGTCAACATGAGAAGAAGCTTGCATTTACTTGCCACACCAAGGCAGCTCTGCAATGGCATGTTAGTAAGTTGTTCGATGATGTCTGCTCTGCCCTTGCCACCATGGAAAAAGCTGAGAAGCTTAG